ATGTGTGAAAAATGTAAATAAACACTAAAAATGTAAAGTCAGTCGCTCTGACTTAACCGTGTAATTGGCCGACGGGTTGGCCAAAACAAAAGAAATGACTTGCTCACAGAGCGAAAAGTCAGTGTTCTTTAAACTCGTGTTGCCGCGCTCTAAAATGCGCCAATCGTGTGAATGGCCAAAGTTATGGCCAAACAAAAGAAAAGGCTTTCGTGTCCCTTTTCTTCTCAAAAAATGTGCAAAAATGCACCAACTTGTAAACTTGTTGATTGGCCGATGATTTGGCCAAATAAATTCCTTTCTTGTTTTTCGTGTAAAATTGTGCAAAAATGTGCACAACTGATGAAATGTGTTAAGACCTAAGTTTTGGTAAACAAAGGAATGACTTCTTTCAAGAAAAATGTGCAAAATAAGCACAAAAAAATTGCTAGCAAAGAGCAAAGATTGAAATTGTAGAAAAGGGGATGAGCGGGTTTGTTCGCGGAAAAAACTGCGTCCTTCAAGGAGCGTGAATGTATGTCGGTCCGCTTGAGGGATCACGACTTTGCGCACTTTGTTGTGCGGGCTTGTGGGGTAAGGCTGTGAATCGGATAGTTTCCGACTTAAGGATTACTCTCCAGGAGTAATAGATGATGAACTCGTGAACTGCTGACTTGTGAGAAGATAAATGTTGACTTACTCTCCAAGAGTAAGTATTCGTGTGCTGCTGGCTGATGAGCAGATAACGGTTGGCTCTGGTGGCCAAAACCGCGTGTTCAGGATGAGAACACAAAATTTAGCCTAAAAAGGCAGACGTGTTGATTGGCACAATTGCCTGAAGAAACGGGGGCAGTGCGATTGGACTGCGGACCCGTACGGGGCTCCAATTTTTATATGTGCCCAAAAGCCCTTTCGGGTGGACACACAATTTGTACGGCCTCCGGCTATGGGAGGGACGGACGCTTATAAAGGGAGGACAGAGAACTCAAAAGTTCTCTTAAACTTATAAGCGATGATGACGACGACAGCCTACCCAAAATCCCCAAAAATACACACACCAAAGAAGAAAAGATTTATTTAATTAACAAATAAATTTAGCGGTCCGATAACAGCTCGGGATCCGCGGTGTGAATAAATTGGTGATTAAAATATGTGGTGAAAATGCGAACAAATAATTTAAGTTAGTGCTCCGCTCTCCTGCTCCCAGTTGAAGGGAGAAAAGTTGGTTTAATTGATTGGGTTTAAAGGAATTAGAAAATTATAAGATTTTGAGAGAAGTTGGAAATTGAAAGAAGGATTGAAAGAAGTGATTTTAGGGACAGCCGAGCGCTAACTTGACAGCCAAAGGTAGGCGTGGTTAAAAACAAAATAAATTGCGGGCGGTAAAATTAAATAGGTGAGAGAAATGGAAAAAGTAGTGGAGGGCTTATGCCCTTTTGGGCACAATAGCTATTATCCTTTCGCAATCAGGTAGACACTTTAATTTAAACACGTACGGCTGACTCGATAAAAACAAGCCTTAAAAATGGCTCGGAAAAATCGGCCAGACTCGAAGACTCGATAATGTTTTTACCAGATTTGTGGAACATTAACACGAATTTTCAAGCAATCCGCAGCCGAAATCTGTGATATAAAGGTTAATCTGGGGATATAAGGTCATTTGAGGCTATAAGTTCGGATATAAGTGGATACGGATATCAAAATCCTTGTCCATTACCAAGTCTGAAATAAACTTTAATTTTTGAACAAAAGGTGCTGAAGGCATGTCTGTTGAAGGAAAAGACTTACTTTATGACGAATCTGTTAAATACACAAATATTTTACTTCGATATAATCAACGAAGATTAGGTTTACTTGAAGGGGCTCAGAGATTGGCTGAATGTAGTCGACTAATTAATCTGAGTATTGAAAATGAATATAATTTTCGGTCGATGGTCTCTAATGAAATTAAATATTTTTCAATGAGTACTAATTACTCAAGATGTTCAAACTTTTACGACAAAATTTTTAGAAAGAAGTGATTAAAAATGAATAATTTTTATAAAAATGTACATATTATCTTTTACCTCTTTATTTTGTTCAAGAATTCTTTTTTTTTAATTTAAAATTATTCGACATTGGATATATGCTTTATCAAATGAGTTTATTAAATTTTTTCCGAAAAATTTTTCCGAGGATATGGGATATGGTATATCCGGTAGATACGGATTATCTCTGCCAATTTTCATTTTCATTTTTTTGCTGAAGAAAAGGAATTATTTTTAAATGAACTATTAAATTTACAAAAGTTTTCAACGGCGATTAGGTTCAATTTAAGGGGGTAAAAGATTAGATGATTAATCGAAGTATTGAGAATGAACATATCGGTAATTTGTTCACATCTCACTCCTATTTGTGTCTCAGATTAATTTCCTTTTTATTTTTCGCTGCCTCGAAATGGTCAAATTTCCTTCATTATAAATGTTAATTTTTGTTGATAGTGATCAGATAATGATTAGATATTGAACCATCTCAGAGCGATACAATATCGATTAATGAGAAATGACTTCGAAAACTGGAATGAGTATATTTAATAATGATCACTATTTGCTCGTTAAGCCTTGAGCAAGCCAAAAAATTATAAAATTGAAATTTTTAACATAAAATCCTCAAATGTCCGATCCTCAAAGGTCAGATCTTAAATAGTGATCGGTAAAATCGCATTTGCAGGATCCTGTATCGGGATTGGGTTTTAAAATTTCAAACAGGACAGGACCCTGCAGGATTAATCCTGAAAATCCTGAAATCCTGCCAATCCTGTCATTTTTTTCCAGGATCCTGTCCAGGATTTCAGGATTTTCAAAAAATCTCAAAATTTCACAAAATTTACCTGCGGCGCTGAAAATCAAAATTTTTGGCTAATATGTCCCAACTAAATCTTCGCTGAAAAAAGTTGTACTACTAAGAATACAGTAACTACATTCAACGATATACCTAACTCAAAATACTCCCTAATCTGTCCAAATCCTCTGATATAACATTCAACTTCCCTTTACAGCGCCGCAGGCAAAACTTTTGGAATTTTGGTGCCAGATTTCTTCCTTTTTAATCGCCGCAGGCGAAAATTTTGAGGATTTCGGAAGGCCAGTAAGACAAAAATCGTCCTTTTTCAGCGCCGCAGGCGACAAAATAAAATTCTGAACCGTGAAAATTAACAGGACGGATCCTGTATCAGGATTGGGCAAAGTGAGAAGTTTGAGCTTTAATCTTTACTGAAAGTTATGTAAATTATTGAAGAAATGAAAATTAATATTCTAAATTTAATTAAAGCATAAAATAAAATTTTAAATAAAATAAACCATACAAAAAATATTTTTTTGTCCAGTTAATCAAATAAAAAAAAGTTCAATCTAAATAAAAAAATATTTTATTTTGGTAAATTATTTTTAAAATTAAAATTCTTTAATTTTTCCCAATTTTCTATATTTGGGTTGCTAAAAATAATTATATTTTGAGTTTATTTATTTAAAAAAAATAAAAATTCTTCACGTTCTGAAGAAATTCCCTTAAACCCTTATTTCGTAACAACACTAAAAACCAAAATACAAATCTAAATTCTCTAATCTTTTTTTGCAAAAAACTAAAATAAAAATCCCAAAAAACTTTTTTTGAATGGTAAAAGTGGCCAAATAAAAAGCCAAATCCTCCTGCCAAATTAACTCATTATTTTTACAAAAAAATAAAATGAATTTATTTAAAATTAAAATATACTCAATTTTAATATTCTTTTGCTTTAATTTAATTTTGGGGCAAATAATAAATAAAAATGGGAAAGGCGATGAAATCACTGGAAGACTTCCTGGACAAAATTTTGATATTAATTTTAAACATTATTCGGGTATTTTAAATTATGATCGAACCTTCCTATAATGTATACTTACAGACCTAAAAAACCGTAGATTTAATGTGATTGAACTTAAATAGGGGATAAGGCTTAGGGAGAACATCCACCACATAAACAACCAACTTTTACAGAATTAAAAATAAAATGATCACTAGTATCTAATCACCGATCACTAGTATCGAGTTTAAATTAGTGTATCTAGAATGATTAGGCCGTAACGTATCCGAGGGTACAGAACAAACTAAAAATTTCCGTACTGTATACCGATGAAAATTTCTCGGTATTTATTGGTTACCGTATTCACTCGATTAATTCCCCTCCCTTGAATAATTCCCCACCCTCTATTAATTCCCCATGCCAGGGATGAGTTGAAAAAATAATTCCTCGAGGGAATTAATCGAGTAAATACGGTATATACCGGTATTACGGTCGGTAGTATGATAAGAGATACGAATGGTAGAAATTTCGATCCCTGGTATCGAGTATTGGGTGTTTGGAGAGAGGTCTCTGAAAGTTTTAATTATTTATTTCTTAATTAATTAATTTAAGGTTATCTTCAAGTCTCAAGCACTAAATTTTTCCATTATGTTTTTACTAAATCGCAAAATAAACCAGATAATGATCCTTTGGTAAAGTTTGATTGCTTTCTCTAAAACAGCCGTCGACTCCTTTTTGATTCATACTTTCTATGTAAAAATCAAATTGAGTGCGGTCAATTTTTCGATATTTTTTTCGCTAAATAACCGAAGAAGGACTATTTTTCGATTTTTCATATTAATTAAAAAATTTTATATGAATAATAAGTAGTAGTCCTTATACATAGTTTAAAAAGTTTAAAATTGCTTAAATGGTATATTGGTGGATTTTGACAGTTAAATAAAAAATAAGGGACTAGTATTTGATATCGATGGATCAATAGGGATATAAATGGATTTTAAAGGATTAAATGGTATATCGAAGGATTAAGGAAGTAATTGTGGTATTGTGGGAGTAGGTCAATATTTTTCAATAATATCGAAAAAATACCGTATTAATCTTGGATCCATAATCAAGTATTAATTTTTCATATGAGCTGCATGGATATCACGTCTTGATATAAAATTTGGGTCAGGTTTTGGATGAGTTTTTCAATTTTCTTCGGATGGTGTTTCGTATTGAAAAGGATTTTATATATTGGAATTACTTTTATCAATTAATTTATCTTATAATTTTATTAAATTTTGCAATAAAGGTCTTATGGTTAAATGGCGGCCCTGGATGTTCTTCACTTCTTGGTCTATTTGCCGAATTAGGCCCTTATTTACTTTCAAAAGATGGTTCTAAATTAATTAAAAATCCTTATTCTTGGAATAACAATGCTAATGTTTTGTTTCTTGAATCCCCTGCGGGGGTTGGATATTCTTATTCAACTGATGGAAATCTTACTACAAATGATGATGAAGTAAATAAATAAATGTTATTAACATCTGTCATTATTTTAAAATGCTTAAGAGAGGGTTAAAACAATAGAGCTTTTGAAAAGGTGTACCATTAAGGAGATAGGCCCGATTCCTCCCAGTCGGCTAAACTATTTACACTGTAAGGATGATTCACCCAGCAGCATTTAAAACGCTTAGGCGGGGGATAAACGATCTAAAAAGGAAAAAGAGAAAGCATTAGTCGATGCCCCGGTAAAGCTTTTTTTTTCCAAGAGCTCCTGCATATATGTAGTGAGCGAAAGCGCCTAGCAACAACTAGCAGGTGGTCGCAGGTTCGAATCCTGCCCGGTGGCTAAACTTTTGCAAACTCTTTCTACACTGTGAAATTTAAAAATTAATAATTCTTATTTAAAGACAGCAAATTACAACTATGAAGCCTTAAAACAATTTTTCAACAAATTTCCTGACTTCAAAGGACGCCCAACATTTATAAGTGGTGAATCTTATGCTGGAGTCTATTTGCCAATGTTGGCTAATTTAATTATTAAAGGACAAAAATTTTACTCAATAAATTTGAAGGTAAAAAGCGGATTATAACTATAATTTTTCTCAAAAAATTTTTTTCTCAAAAAGGGAGTGTTGATTGGAAATGGGTATTTCAGTCAACGCTTAAATATTAATACAATGCTAACTTATGCTTATGGTCATGGTCTTTTAGATGAAGGATTATGGCATTCCTTTAGCAAAAAGTGTTGTAAAGGATGTATTGGTATATTTCTTAGATTTTGATTTCTAAAAATAAATCCAAAAAGCATTTTTATTCCGGTAATTAATAATTTAGATACTTGCGACATTTTTGGTTATGTTGGTACAAACACAACCTGTCTCAACTTTGTTTAATAAAATTTATAAAAATAACTTTTAAATTTTTATTTAGGCTGTTCAGGTTTATCATGCATTTACTATTTGTATATCAAATCCCTATGATATTTATCGTAATTGTGGTAATGAGATTTTGCATAATGCTTAAAGGATTACAAATTTTTTGTACAGATAGTTCGGATTTAAGACAATCAAAAGCCTTAACAAAAAACAAGTTGCGTGGAATGTTTTCTCACACACCTTTTTTGTTAAAAACTTTGGAAAATTTTTTAATTGACGTACGTTTTATGTATTAGGATAAATAGTACTATTGTTATTAGGGTTGCCAAAATGGACCGACTCGGACCGAAAGATCGAGTCATGCCTCGATGTTTGGCCCGAAAAAGTCTCGTACCGGCCCGACTCGATAAATTTAGGCCCGAAAAAGACTCGTAACGGCCCGACTCGATAAAGTTAGGCCCGAAAGTGACTCGTACCGGCCCGACTCGATAAAAACAGGCCCGAAAAAAATTGTCTCGGAAAAAGTCGGCCCGACTCGAACGAGACTCGATAATATTTTTAGCAGATTTGTGGACAAAAATGGGTGAAATCTGGCTCTGTGGCCTTCCAAAATTCGAAAAATTTTCGCCTGCGGCGCTGAAAAAGGAAGAAGTTTGGTCCTTAGCCTTCCGAATATCTCAAAATTTTTGCCTGCATGAAGGGTTTTTATCTCCATACTTTGCTTCACATCTCGAACTTACTGGCTTTAATTGATAAGCTGGATTACTGGGAGTTATGGTATATATTCCGCGGGATCCCGTCATAATTTGAACTTTTGAAACTCAATCAGTTTTGAGAGTCCACAATTTTCCGCAGTCCGCAATTTTAACTTTAAAATACGCAGTCGCAATCTTCAGTCCACAAGTCTTCCATTTATAGCGCCGCAGGCGAAAATTTTTTAAAATCTGAGGGTTGTAGGCGAAAAAATTTCACTTTTTCGACCATTCTTCTACTAATTTTTCCCCCTTTCCCCTATTTCAGGGGGGGGGGGCTCTAGCTCCGCCACCCAGCCCCCCTGGATACGCCCTTGGATTAAGTGTGTATTTAATTGGCACCAGTGATTTGGAGGTATATCAGTGATTTCATCTTTTTTTTACCGCTGGAGTCGAAAAGTTTAAGACTTTTGGAAGACTACCCCGATATCCCTTCAAATCTCCTCATTCCTTCTAAATCCCATTACAATATATCACCTTAATCATCTGATATACGATCCTGAACCCCTTAATCATCTGATCTCCTTTAATAAAACCAAATCTAGCAATATCTCACATCAATCCTCCGATAATTTAAATCACCTCAATCCCTCAAATCCACTGATATCCATTTTGATTCTCTTCAGCCCTTCCTTTACCCTCCTGATCCATCGATATACCTTTTAATTCAGAGATATCCCTCCAAATCCACTAATTATTTTTAAATAAATCTTTTAAAAAAAGACTCGAAAATGTCTCGGTGCCCGACTCGATAAAGTCAGGCCCGAAAGTGACTCGTTCCGGCCCGACTCGATAAATTTAGGCCCGAAAAAGACTCGTATCGGCCCGACTCGATAAAGTTAGGCCCGAAAAAGACTCGTACCGGCCCGACTCGATAAAAACAAGCCCGAAAAAAAATGCCTCGACCGTCGGCCCGACTCGAAAACGGCAACCCTAATTGTTATCATCAAAATAATTTGACAAAAGATAAGGCCGTATTTTTCCGTTAAACTAAAAATGTTATATATGATAAGGTAATAAAAGGTGCTGAATCTCTGGTACTGCTCTTTTTTCCAGAGATGCCTGTGGACTAAGATATAGTGCTCGAATAGTCAAGAGGTATCGGAAAGACACTTGTGTAAAACGGCAAACGTCTCGCGGTGAATCGACAGTCGCCGGGTTGATAACGTCGCCTTAGCATTAATTTAGGGGAGGTGGCACAACGGAAAAGTACCGATAAGGCTAGATAAGATTTCATAACATTCATCTCTTTTACTTTCCTCAAAATATCATAATAATCAGACTTTTCTTCAAAATTTCACTGCTTTTCACTATGACATTTTCGACATAAGATAATTGATATTAAGAAATTAAACTTAAAATAATACGATATCAAGTTTTCATTTATATTTATTATGAGATTTTTATTCAGGAAAATAAATCTGAGCAAGAGAGTTATGATCCACCAATAGTTGAATGTATAAAGGGTATATTATGTAGATAAAAAATTTTAAACTTCTTTTTATAATTTTAAGAAGATATTTTAACTAACTATATGAATTTACCTAAAGGTTTTTTGTTAAATAATTTAATTAAAATAATTATATAATTAAATCAAAGTTCGAGAAGCATTACATATTCCAAAAAATTTAAATAATATTACATGGCATGATTGTAATGATGATCTAGATTATAGTGGACAATATGGTTAGAATAATTTTATTATTAATTTTTAAAGAAATTTATAAGAAAAAATTGTTCCTAACAGACTAAATATTTTCGGATAACCAGACTTTCCGCGTTTAGTATTTGAGCAGATAATGTCGCCTTAGGGATTTACTTAGACAAATAAATATTTACATTATTCAATTTAACCATTGAATCCCTCGATACCACACCCAAATCCCTCAATATTACCTGTGGCCCTAGTAAATCAACCGATATAACTCAAAAATCCCTTTTGCCATTTTGTGGGTTTGTGAGTTATGTAAAGGAGTTTGTTATTTATGGGGGAGCCCAAAAAAGGGTTGGCAAATCAAAGCAATAAACTGTGAGTAAAAATATAAAATTTAAACTTTTTAGCTGATATGGTAATATTCATGAAAAATATAATAAAAGCAAAAGTGCCAGTATTGTCATATTATGGAGATACTGATATTATTTGCAATTATTTGTTAGGCGAGAGATTTGCTACACAGCTTGGAATTAAAGTTTTTTTGTGTATTTTAAATTATAATTAAAAATATTCTTTCAGTTATTAACGCCAAAAAACCCATGGATGTTTGAAAACCAAATTGGAGGTACTGTAACTGAATATGAAGGATTTACTTTATTAACCGGTAAATTATTAAAATAAATAAAGTCGTCTCATTATAAAATGAACGAAATTAAAAATTGTCATTTAAAATGAGGGGTATTTTAATCAGTTCCCCCCACACATAGCCAAGTTATGTTGAACATAGTGTGTATTCCCATATATCGAGGCGAATTTTGAACCTATTTAAAAACCAAGAATGTAAGGATGATAATTGGAAAATGAAGAGAAGGGAAAGATGAGAATTTTTAAGAAATATTAAGCGTTGGATATTTACTGGGAATATTTATTTAATGGGAATTAAAATGGGAATTTTTGTTGGAATTTATTTAAATAACAAATTCTTTTTAATTATTAAATAATTTTGGTTAATTTTCGAGATTTGTTTATTTTATATATTGTTTTATATTAAAACAGGGCTTCTTGTATTGGAAAAATATCAAGAAGCTTAAGTACAAAAAGTTTAATTTGGAAGTTATGTGGCGGAAAATTTTAAAAACACTGCAAAATTACTTTCAAAGACGCTCACATTTTAATATTTTTCATCCAAATGTCTAGCGAAATTTTGAAAATTTTAAGCTTAAGATTAATTTTTAACCAAAATATGCATTTGTACTTACAAATAATTAAATTTGCAATTTCGTAAGTACAAGGGTCGATTTACAAGTACTGTACTTCCAAAATAATTTTATGAGGGTCATTCTTTTCCGTTCATTTTAGCCATAATTTTATTTTAAGCAGGAAATTCTTATGTTAGTTTAATTTTCTTCAAACCGAAATCTTTTTTAAAAATAAAATTCTAATTAAATTGTCTAAACTTATCTAATTTAATGATTCCCTTTAAATTTCATTTTTCTCAATCTTCTTCCATATTAGCCTCAAATATTTTCTCTTCCTTTTCAGATAAATTTAAAACTATTTCATTGAGATTAGAAGAAATAAACTCTTCGATTTCATTAAAATTTTCATCATTAGTTTGGTCAAAATATTTTTTAAACTTCTCAAAATTCTTCTACAAATTCCAGACATTTTGATTAAAATTACATTAAACAATTTTAAATTTTTTGGCAGTTGTCGTCTATCTACATACATATGTCTATTTTCTAGCTATTAAAAAAAGTCATATCCTCATGATTGCGCCACGGCTATCCTCAATTGTCGTACCGCTACTATTTTAAATTATTTAATTTTTGGCAATTGTCGTCGATCTATATACAAACTATTAAAAAATTTTTATTTTATTTGGACAGCTTTTAATTTTATTAAAAAATCTTTTTCGTTCGAGAATTAAAATATACAATTTTGTATCTAAATATATTTAGTGGTTGGCTTTTTTATTGATAAATTTATTTAAATATTCTTTAAAATACCTGACTAATATGTAATAATTTCTAGATAATTAGCATTTTAGAGAATTCAAAATTTCCATTTAAAGCAATATTCACAGGTAGACAATACCGTATTTACTCTATTAATTACCCTCCATATAGCCTATAAACGGCATAAATAATACCGTGTCCGGTAGTTTCGTCAGAGGTTAGGGTTGTTTCGTCAGAGATGAGTTTCGTCAGAGGTTCTTTTCGTCAGTAAGGCTCCCTTTTCAAAAATCTAATTAAGCGTCGGTGTTATGACTTATGCTAGGTTATTTGTTTCTGGGTCGATTTAGACAAATGAGGTGTCTTTCGAAAGAGCTCTGAAAAGCGATTTTTGTGGTGAAAAATTCGAGTATACAAATGCAGCTCATTCGAGTCAGCTCGGCGGGCTGACTCCTGCTCGACGGTGTGATACCTCCCTGTGCTTTTTCAGTATTCAGGAGTCTTTAATTCGGTCCCGGAATGTCGGATAAACTTCTTCCACAACTAATTCGACTCAGTTTTTAGAGCTCTTTCGAATGATACCTCATTTATCCAAATCGATCCAGAAACAAATAACCTAGTATGTGTCATAATACCGCCGTTTTATAGAATTTTAAAAAGGGAGCCTTACTGACGAAAAGGACCTCTGACGAAACTCATCTCTGACGAAACAACCCTCTGACGAAACTGACCTCTGACGAAACAACCCTTTGTCGAAACTAATTCTGACGAAAATGTCCTCTGACGAAACTAACCTCTGACGAAACTACAGAGCACCAATAATACTAGGAGTATAGCAAAATTCCCTGCAATTTTAAGTCAAAAAAGCTTTCTCTATATAAATATTTTTAAGACAATTCGAAAACTAAAAATGCCCTCAAAAAGGACCATAAATGACATTATTTGTGCAATTTGTGGAGATAAAAATTCTATTAACCATTATGGAGTGATCTCATGTCGGGCGTGTGGAGCTTTCTTTAGGTAAGCTTTTTTTTTATTTTTTTGATTATTTTATAAACCTTTAGTTTCTTCAAATTTAAAATTAATTTTCGAAATTTCCTGTTTATTTCTTTCATTTAATGAGAGATAAATTAAAAATTTATTAAAAAATATTTTAGACGAATGGCTATTCATAATGTAGATTACAAATGTAAATGCCATAAATATGGTTGATTTAAATAAATATGTTGGACCTAATTATATAAAATACACCCAATAAAATATACTTTTACTAAAGATTGTTTTTTAATTGATTAACATTGGCCGGAGATTAGTTCTCGTCAATGCGATAAAAAAAGGATAGAATTTTTCAGCCATAACGGTGTATCTTATAAATAGGTCGATGTTAGGCATAAAAATTTAATTTTAAATTCAAGATTGGAAGGAATTCAGATGTAAAAGATGCCGATTTGAACATTGTTTGGCAAAGGGGATGAAAAAAGAATGTGGGTAATTTTGAAATTTTGCTTTTTTTAAATTTTAATGCCATACTTCCAAATAAAGAATAGAATTTGTAACAATTTATTTTTAATCTGTCAACAAAAGTTTAATAGTTACGACCTGAATCTGGAAAGAGCCATGGAGTTCCACTCTAGTATGTATGTATATGGCTGTTAAAATTACTCACATATTTTAGGAAATAATTTAAAAAATTTTTATTTTAGTGGTTCTCTCTGTCCGTTTGCGTGATTTTAGAAAGAAAAGAAGTAAGAAATAAATTTTAGTAGTCGGATCTCAATTGATATACTAAGCAAAAAAATTGACTTCACTGTAAAACTGACTTATAACTGAGATCCGACTGATTAATAATTAACCGTATTAATGACAAGCAACATTTGCGGCTGCCACTGGCGTGATATTTCTATGCTTAATAAGACCAAACATTGTTTGGAATCAAATAATTTTCTCCCAGACTTACTACCTTATAATCATTATCTAGCCTGTAGTCGCAAATGTCGTGTTGTATTTTATTTATTAAAATTAATATTTTTAAAGGCTTAGAAATCATGCAAAATTCCCAAGCACAAAAAGAATCATTTTTAGCTGTAAGTTATTTATTTTTAAACATCTTTGGAAAGTTCTATTTTGGAGCTTCAGAATTTTACTTTTGTAAATTATGCATAATTTGTAAAGGTGCAAATTTCCTCTGATATCTATTCCAAAATTTAATTTCATTTTTGTGTCATCACTGGATGGGATACTCAGCTAATATTAAAAGCTTAGTATATTAATTTTTTCATAAAAGATCAATGAGTTAACATGCAACGAATCAACAGTTATTCGAACCGAACTCGGACAAATGTTGAAGGTTGAATCCTTTGCAAGAAGAATACGGCATTCTTCTACAATGATACCTATGGAATATTTTGATGATTATAATTGCTTGGAGGATCTGTTGAATTCTGGACATAATATACTTACTAAACACGAGGCTTTTTCTGTAGGAATTTTTTAATTTAAAAGATAACTATTGTATATGCTCTATCAATTACGCACTCTCAAATAATTATCCCCGCTCTATTATAGACCCTCTCCAGCGAGAGATCGAAACAATAATTACCCAGGGTAATTATTAGAGCATATACGGTAATAAGAATGTCGCTATAAGATTAAACACTACCCTCAATTTAAAATGCGTTTTTAAAATTTGATTGGGTATATATTGAGTATACCATTAGGACTACATACCATTAGGAGTATTTTATGCAATCTCAGTCCTAATTATTTTTAATTAAAGCCTGAACTTCCGAAACCTTGGGATAGAGATAGTCATTTAAATATAATTATGGAATATGGTCTTTGGTCTGACAAAGACAAATTACTAAGTGAAGGTTCTAAACAATTTTTCAAAGATAATTTTGTTTCGATATGTTATGTCAAAACATTGCCTTTATTTAATATATTGACAATTGAAGAACAGGTATTAGTAAATCTCTAAGAATCATGGGGTAAAATCATCCATTTACTACATATTAACTTTCGAGTTGCCTCTCATAATATACAAATAAAAATGTTAAAAAATTGACCATTTTAGCCCTAATTATTTTACCAAAATGAAGATAAAGACTTTTATGCTCAATGAAAGTTTATGCGTCCAATCAAAAAACAATTGGATTTTTCTTAGTATTGCAAAGTTGGGGTATGGTTCCAAAACAATTTTTCATGTTCGGGACCTACGCCTTTGGGTCTGGGACCGTTCCTTGCCCTGTCCCTCGAAATTTCGGAAAGTTAAAATCGTTTTTTCTAAATTTTTAAAAATTGGCCATAACTTTCCGAAATTTCGAGGGATAGGGCAAGGAATGGTCCCAGACACAGTGGGCGTAGGTGCCGAACATGAAAAAATGTTTTGGAACAATACCTCAACTTTGCAATACTAAGAAAAATCCAATTGTTTTTTGATTGGACGCATAAACTTTCATCGGACGCATAAAAGTCGATAGGACGCATAATCTGGAGTAGAGCCGAAATTATTAACTGCTCTTTAAACCAAAAATTTATAAAATAATACAAATCAAGAATAATTTGTTTAAATTAAAGTCAATTCTAATAACAAAAACAAATCTACAATTATTTCTTATGCTTCAATTATACTATTCATTTGAGATAAATGCAACGACATTAATCTTTCCTAGTGGAGAAATACCTTATGAAATTATCAAAACAACTGCTATTAAATACAATTGTGAATCATTGTTGAGTTTTTTGAAAAAAAAATATTTAAATATTTATTACAATTTAGAGAAAGATATGCCAGAAAAACACATATTATGCCAATGAAAAAATTTTCTCTAGTCCGCCCTGATATTAGTGAATTTGTTTTACTAATGGCTTTACTTGTAGCTAATCCAGGTTGGCTCTTATGACTTAAAAATAAAGTAAAAAATCGCTGAGATATAGGATTGACTGAGACGCAAACCTAACTCTATATGAAAGGAGGGACTAATGATATCTCTCCTTACATCCTTGGGCTATATCAAAAAATGATCAATTTTCCTCAGTATTTTTTTCCTTTATATCAAATTTCCTTAGTATTGAGAAAAAAGGATTAGCATTCTTCAGTTTCTTGCAAATTTTTATTTGGTTTACGAACATTATCCTATGCATAAGTCTGCACTTTAGAACCTATTGTACGTAACTCTTGTGTGTAGAGCTCCCTATTCGCTAATAATTTCTGTGATTAAGTTAACAACCTTTTGCAGATAAATTGATAATAAAGCTGTTTTTTGACTTAACAGTACCAAACCGAGTTTTCAGTCTATAACCTTTCAAAAATAACACCTGATTATCGTTGAATAAACAGATGTTATTTTTGTGTGAAAACGTGTGTCCATGGTTATACCAATAAAATAAACAATTATTTTCTTTTCATACATATTTTCTAAAATAATTTTCAGCTGTCTCAGATAAATTATCTCCTAAAGCTAAAGAAATTATAAGAACCGAGCAAGAAAGATACACCAAAATGCTTTTACAGTTAGAGCAAAACAGGCATGGACAAGGTCCTGGAGCCCTTCGATATTCTCAACTTCTCGAGTTAATGTGGGAAGTAATTTATTCCTCAAAAAATTCTTTTAATATGATTATATTATTAAATCTACTTCAAAAAAATGAAATTAATTGTATCTGGCCTAATGCGCTACTTTCCCAGAATGTTAAATTTTAATTTGAGTAAACAATTGTTTTATTAATAAATTTTATTTTTGGGGAGATTTCTATTTCATTCTCAAAATGTAAAAAATTTTTCAAGTAAAACTGCGTAATTTCAAAGAGAAAATCCAAAATGAAAAAACAAATATTGTACACACCTGTATGTACACATTCCAAAATTATTTCCAGCCCAGGTGGACATCATACACTGCTCCACATAATTATAAGTCCACCCCTTTTTTCGGGTTTTTTTGACTCCCAGTGATCCAAATTTTCTGAAAATTTAGAAACACACCTTTTAGTGAATAACTAACAAGATGTGAATCATTTTTGGCTGGTTTTTTATTTAAAAAATTTTTAGACCAAAATTTCCATTTTCAGCCTCCACAAAATTATAAGTCCACCTTTCAAAAAAGATATTTCCAAGTTTAGGAAAAATCTACAAAAATTCTAGCAAAGATACATAATGATATTATGATAAAATAAAAAAGAACTAGACCCATATCTTTTCCTGGAACCGAGATCATGAGACCTCAAAAATCAACGTAAAACGGGGGTAAGACTCTTTAAAGCCAAAAATCTATTCACATCTTGTTAGTTATTCACTAAAAGGTGTGTTTCTAAATTTTCAGAAAATTTGGATCACTGGGAGTCAAAAAAACCCGAAAAAAGGGGTGGACTTATAATTATGTGGAGCAGTGTATTTAATTTTAAATTTTGGCAAGTGTATTACAGCTAAGGCGAGGATAGTGTAAAGCATATAGCTATTTAATTCCTAAGGCTGTGCAGTAGGCGGCTTGGTGTAATGGCTAACACATCAGTCCGGTCTACTGAAGATGTTGATTCGCTCCCAGGCACCGTTTAACCTTTTGCACTAGCTAAAGGAGAGAAATAGCTATAGCCCAGCTGCTTTACTACATAGTATAGTTAGGCAAGTAAAAACTGTTAAGTTAAATTTTAATTTGAGTTGGTCTTCGGACCAAGCTAAAAACACGTTTTTTGAACGTATTACACCATCCAAAGCTTGCAGAAAAAACAGGCATTTGCCTATAAATCCTCGCCCTAATTATAGCAAATAGTCTTTGCCTACTAAATTTAATTCTCGTTTCGTGAATTATTTTTTAAATATTTTTAGTAAAAATTTCTGAAATTTTTTTTATTTTACATTTATTAATAACTTGTTTTTTTTTGTATTTTTAATAATCTTTTTGTAAAAGAAGATGACCCAAAATAAATCACCGTCTCGACTAGCAAGATGCCATCGGGGAGGAAGAAAAACAGGATTTAGAAAATAATTATTTTTATTTTTTATCATCTTTTTTCGTCTGTAATTTTTTATTAGAGATTATTGATGATTATTATTTTATTCTTTATCTTTACTTTCAGTTAGCTTTTTCATTTATTTTTATTTTTTCAAAAATGATTTTAAATAAATTAATAAATATTATTTTATTAAATATTTTATTTTTTATTTTATTAATTAAACAAGGCTACTGTCAAGAGGAAGGAGGACAACAAATGTAATATTTAAATTTTATATTAAAGTTAGGATAAGGATCTCGGGTTTTTGACAGGATTTTTATGTTCAACTTAAAAGATATTTTTTGTTACTTTGCTACCTATAAGGATTTTTAATCCCTATCAGGAATTTCATTTCTGTATATCCTGACGTCTTTTCGGTCTCGAATTTTCGAGTCCGATATCGGGTGTTTAATTATGCCTAATGTTATGATTTTTAAGCATATTTCGACATCCTTATCAGAGTCCCGGTGCCGAATTCTGATTTTTTCTTCCAATTTCAGAAGGCTTGTTAAATTTTCTGATTTCCTCCTTAATCCCTATATCCCTTTAAATCCTCCTTGTTTCGAGGGTTAATATCTGGTGTTCTCCAATATTCCTTCAGGTCCCTCGATATCCTACAAATCCATCGATATCCACTTCATTCCCAAATCACTAGTCATTCTCCTTAACCCACTTAATTCATTTACATAGTTCTAACCAAACTTCCATCCTACAATATTCCTCTATATTCTTGAAATCCCCCAAGATAACAGATGTGCTTTCAAATTTTGCACTATAACTTAAATCTATACAATTTTATTTTAATCTTTTAAATGTAAAAATTTTATCTCAGATTAATCTAAAAAACATCTTCAGGGCTCAAATAAAAGAAACAGATGAACCCTTAAAAGAAGAATCGAATACAATATCCAAACCAGATGAATCTCAAAAAGAACATAATAAATGTCGTAGTGAACACCCTCCCTCAAATCAAGGGTTAGGTCACGGATGTGAATTAATTATTACAATACTTTGTGATTTACACTGTACTAGCGAAACACAAAAAAGTAAAGGATATACTTCCGGATTGTGTAAACCTTTTGATCCTGTTTGCTATTGCAAATGTTAATGACTGATAAATTAAATTAAAAATTTTAATTATTTAAATGTTTAATAAAAAAAAGTTGAAAATATATTATTTAACCAAAGTCACTCTCTGTCGCTCTCCACATTATTTTAAATAGCTTCTTCATTATTTTCGAGTTATACCTCTATGTTAAAGCTTCACCGGAAAGTCCGGTTCCGGTGTCGGGATTTTTTGTTTTCGGTTCCATTCCTCCAGTTCCGGTTTTTAACACCCCTAGGAATTAATTTGTTATTTTTATATAGGCAACCGCCAACTTATCTATACATATTGATGTTATAAAAAATAAAAAAAAATTAGGCGAATTCCAGAAAATCGGGATTTCCCGCATGGGGAATTACAGATTATAATGGATCAAGAATTCTGTCCTCTAAATAAATTTG